ACGCTACGAGCAACCGCCCCGCTTGCCCTCCGATCCCAGCGCCTATTCTTCGAATTAATGACGCCGTCTGTACAACATATCGTTCCTTACTAAAATTCCTTACTAAAATAAAGATTTAAGTCGTCGTAAGGATAAAAATCTAAATTTAGAAACAATTTTATGTTGGACAAGTTGCAATGATCGAACCGCGAGCAATCTCGGCTGACAACGTTCTTTCAACCGGTTTGCAACGCAAAAACGATGTAACGCGGCTTTTCCACCTGCGTAGCCGCTTTTACAGCCCACNAATGAGACGTAGTGTTTTACAACAGCGGGTACTCGTACAGATCTCACGAGCAAAATCTCATGGATTAATATCAATCGCTCTCCACAGTGCGCAACAGCTTCAATTTGTTCACATCATTTAACACAACGTGCAGCATTCGCCACTGCACCAGTGTGCCCAGTTTTGACTCTCTTATAGCACGCTGCAGCAAGTGGAGGGGATACGCACACAGGCGAGCCGCCGTGTACGTGTGCGCTCGACGCTTCGACCGTCTTCGGGCGGTAGAAGAGAACAAAGATATGTTTAGTGTCTCTTTTTTTCGACATAGCTATAGCGTACGCGGCTAGCGCGAGCGGCTTACCTTGCACTCGCAATTATACATTTAATATACAGTAAACAAAAGTATTCTTGCAATAAAAATTTTATTGTATTTAAGTTTTAAAAACAAACTGTACACATTGTTGCTCAACGGAAACCGCGAGAAGGTGGTGGTTTCTTCCGTCACACATAATGTAAAACATTTGTTTCGTCCAATATTGTAATAAATGTTTATATATACGTTTATTAGCATAAAAAATAATACTACTTAAAATAAGTGAAATAATTCTACATGTTATAGTATAAAACAATGTTTCAATAAAAATATAAAGAAATACAAAAATATAAAATTTAATACATTATTTACAAAACCAATGTTGTGTATTTCCAAAAAAAATATAGATAGAACAGAACAGATAAAAGCTTAGATAGAAAGGATACAAGTAGAAAAGATAGATGGAATAAGAACATAGAAAAGAAGGAGAAATAGATAAGGAAAGAACAAATAGAAGAGATAAAAAAATTGAAAAAATATCCCGGACAGCACAAACTTTCAAGTGACATCTTAAAAACATTTGAAGTGCGTCCTTAAAAATAGCACATTTTCCGGATGTCTTTAAAACGTATTTTGCAGGTCTATGCTGTCTGGGATAAGAAAAAGAATACAACATAAAAAAAGACGCGCAATACATAGAGAGTGTTATGATTATTGTAAAGTCACTTTACACGAGTTACAATTGACAACAGAAGTCGAAACAAAAATATTTAAGAAATTAAAATGCATTTATAAATAAATAAATATATATATAAATTGAAAAAAATAAATCTAACTAAACAAATAAATAAATAAATATAAATATATATATAGAAAGTAGAAAATATATAGAAAATAGAAAATAGAAAATAGAAAATAAAAAATATAAATCTTAATAAGTAACCAAATAAATAAATAATAATATTTATACACATATACATTGTTACTTATTTTAAAAATTTTAAAATGTGGAAAATGACTTTTTTTAGTAGGACTAAAATAGTTGTAACCGTTTGTATTTTTTTACACTAATATACAATTCGTTATTAAAATTCAGAAATGTTTTTCGGGTTTGAACCGCGTTAATACATATAATAATGACATTAACGCATTTTTCAAACCTAAAAAACATTTTTAAATGTTACTACAACACAAAAGCATTAAATATCAGAATTACAATTCGTTATGTTATCTTAAAACATTGAGTAGTATAACAAATNTAAGTTATATAACTGTAACGACAGTTGCTCTTTATTTATATAAATCATTCCAGTATTAAAAATAAAGTAAACTGAGGTTTTACGAGGACAAGNTAGAATCGATTAATGGTACAATTATGTTGTAAGTTTGCTAAATGNTAATCAGTTTGGGAAAACTAAATGTAACAATAAAACATCACACATTTCTACGTAGTACTGACAATTGTATATAAGTATATCGACATACAACTCGTCTACAAATTTAATATTGATGTAATGATTGTTGCTTTGTGTCAAAATAATGATAAACAAATTGATGATTATAATTTGGCATGAAAGTGTTCACACTATTCTTGCTGTTCAATTTACTTGATTTCATGCAGTTTCTGAAGTCAAATAATGATGAAACATAAATATCTATTTCAAAAAGAGAGTAAACTCTAAATTTTCAGTGATATCGTTTCTTCCAGCACACAAAATAATAAATAATTCTTGCTATTCAGTTCATTTGTTTTGACTGAATTCTTCTGCTAAAGTCAGTAGTAAATAAATTGTTGGCGTCCATTTCAAAACGAAAGCAAAAACCACTTCTTGTTTTCGACAAACTATATCCTCAAATATGTAGAAAAGCACTGAAGTAATCTACTCGAGTCTTGCTATTCATATATTATATATATGTGCATATAAGTTGTATAATTAACACCGTTTTAATTATAAAATAAATTTAAGTTTAAAATAATAAAAACATTGTTTTCTAAGAAATTATATTTTTTATACAGGGTAGTTAACAAGAGAGTATCGGTACTGCAAAAAATCTTGAAAACTAGACATTTTATAAAAAAGGTTTCAGATAAAAGTTGTTGGGCTTAAAAGAATCTATTTATCAATTGTATCAGTGTAACTTTAGAAAGCGCCACTAAGGTCAAATCAAGAACACATTAATTGTTTTAAATGGAACATTCTACTTTCAATTGCAGATTCTTATAGCTTAATTCAAGAACTTTCCAAAACAACATTATAATAAAGATTATTTTCATTAAGCAGTTTTTGTTATGAAAGTTGAATATTAGAATACCCCGGAACTTTTTCTACGAAGATGATTGTGATCAAAACGAATTTTGTGAGCAACTATTGCAGAGAATTGACAAAGAATTTAATTTCTTAGTCAACATAGTTATTTCAGATAAAGCAACATTTAAAATGAATGATAACGTCAATAAATAATGTTAATACCGGCGATACTCTAATTCAACCCTCATAAGTCAAAAAGTACTTACTGAAAATAAACTATTATAGTGTCTTGAAAAGCTTTTAAATTAAGCTTTAAGAGTTTGCAATAAAAAGTAGAGTGGTCCACTCAAAAAAAAATCAAAGTAACCTTGTCCTGACCTTGGAAATTTCCATTCAAACTAATAAAATTAGTAACTATCCTTTAAAACTCTACGTACTTACTGAAAATAAACTATTATAGTGTCTTGAAAAGCTTTTAAATTAAGCTTTAAGAATTTGCAATAAAAAGTAGAGTGGTCCACTCAAAAAAAAATCAAAGTAACCTTGTCCTGACCTTGGAAATTTCCATTCAAACTAATAAAATTAGTAACTATCCTTTAAAACTCTACAACTTTTATCTGAAACACTTCTTTGTAACATGCTTAGTTTTCAAGATTTTTTGCGGTATCGGTACTTTTTATACCCCGTATATATATGTACATATATTTAATTGTTTACTTATATATATATAAATAAGTATATTTATGTATTTATAGATGCATTTTAATTTCTTAAATATTTTTGTTTTGACTTTTGTTGTTAAGTTTAACTCGTGTAAAGTGACTTTAAAATAATCATAACACTCTCTATGTATTGCGCGTCTTTTTTTATGTTGTATTCTTTTTCTTATCCCAGACAGCATAGACCTGCAAAATACGTCCTAAAGACATCCGGTAAATGTGCTATTGTTAAGGACGCACTTCGAATGTTTTTAAGATGTCACTTGAAAGTTTGTGCTGTCCGGGATATTTTTTCAATTTTTTTATCTATTCTATTTGTTCTTTCCTTATCTATTTCTCCTTCTTTTTTATCTTCTTATTCCATCTATCTTTACTACTTTTATCCTTTCTATCTCAGCTTTTACCTGTTCTGTTCTACCTATATTCTTTTTAAATAAAAAGAAATACACAACAATGACTATGTTTACACGTACTGGTAAAACCGGTTTAATAAAAACCGGACTTAGATGTCCGTATACAGGACACCTAAGTCTGGGTTTTACTAAAACGGTTTTAATAACATTAGTACAAGGAACGTTTGCAGGACATCTAAGTCCGGTTTTGTACTAAAGACATATAAAACGGTTTTTATGAAAACGGTTTTACCAGTACATGTAAACGTAGTCAATGGTTTTGTAAATAGTGTATTAATTTTTATATATTTGTATTTATTTATATTTTTATTGAAACATTGTTTTATACTATAACATGTAGAATTATTTCACTTATTTTAATTATTATTATTTTTTATGCTAAAAACGTATATATAAACATTTATTACAATATTGAACAAAACAAATGTTTTACATTGTTTTTGACGGAAGAAACCACCACTTTTTCGCGGTTTCCGGTGAGCAACAATGTGTACCTAGTTCACTTCTAAAACTTAAATACAATAAAATTTTTATTGCAAAAATACTTTGTTTCTTTTAATGTATATTATATGTAATTGCGAGTGCAAAGTATATTAGCAGAATATTTTTTACATAACAAACAACATTAAATATATTTTTATCTGTATGTATTTTATAGTAACAATAATTTTGCTAATTATATAATTAAGTATACTTTTCTTTTTTTTGTTTAAAACAAAAAGACGTATATATTGGTCAAGAGTGAATTTATATTCTTCACTTTTTAGTTATGCTCCTCATATATTTCAATTTTCTAATTATTCTTTTATGGTGTTAATATTTTTTTATTTAATCGAAATGTTCTGTAAGTAAAGAAGTGCAAGAACAAGGACAAACGGCGAAAAATGATAAACAGGCTTAGCCGCTCGCGCTAGCCGCGTACGCCATAGGTATGTCGAAAGAAAGAGACATAAACATATCTCTGTTCTTTTCTATTGCCCGAAGACGGCCGAAGCGTCGAGCGCACACGTACACGGCTGCTCGCCTGTGTACGTATCCCCTCTACTTGCTGCAACGTGCTATAAGAGAGTCAAAACTGGACACACTGCACGGCACCTTGTGCAATTCTACCGTTGATCCGCTGTTAGCCGAAGCAAAGATGCTGTTGTTGTCGTTGCGCGATCGTATCAAAATTAATTCGTGTCGCGCGTTGATCAACACGCGTTTGTAGTCCTCGCAAAATCCCAGCAATGTGCGGAGAGGTACGCAAAAATTGAATTCGCCAACACCTTTAGTGGTAGACAGGTTCCATCCGGCGTGTCGCAGAGCGTTTCCCGTTTCAGTGGTCAGAGACACGTAATTCTTTAACGTGCTCGTCACACCGGGGTTGCGATTTCGATCGATTTCCACACCACTGAGCTTGTATCTGATCTTATCAAACATAAACGCCACGCAATTGTTCGTCAACGCGACGGCGGCGGCAACCGCGCCGCTTCCTTCCGCTGCTCCGGCAGTGGTTTGCAGACTAAACTTTCCCTCGATGTATAAGTAACTGTCGTACGGCAGAGTGTAAACATCCTGTTGTTGAATGGGTATGCGTATCTCGTCGCTGTGACCAAACGATGTATTGGCATACGGATTGTACGTGTGAGTCTCGATGATGACGATACGATCGTCGAAGACTGGTTCACTACCAACGCTGAGTACGTCGTTCATCGTTGTTGTTATCGTTGTCTACTGCGTAACCCAACGAACGCAAAAACGTTGCGTTTCGCGCGGTCAACGTCGAACGATCGCGCGCGAAAACGGAAGAACAATCTCGTTTGCTTGACGCGGTCACGACGAGCATATTTTGTTTTCCTCCCTCGTTGCGCGACGTTGTTTACTCGCGTATCTTTCGCACGTGCAAGCGCACCGTTATCGTTTCACCGCGAAAATCGATCAATCGACCGTTCTGATCAACTATGCGCACCGTGATGTCCGTAACGTTCCTCGCGAGGACCGGGAGGTAAATGATTTGACAGTTCTTCGACAGTTTATATCCCGGCGGCACGTTCGGAGCGAATTCGTGTATCGTGTGCACGGGTTGCTCGTTGCTGTACGCTCCCGCGGTGATGTTGCATTCCACGCGAATCACGTTCACATTCAAGATGTTCACCGGTTCGGACGCGTACCACCGGTTAGGTTTCAAAATGCGTGATGATGAGAAACCGAGCAGCGAGCCGCTGTTGTTGGGTTTGGAATAATTGACTCGATAAACGCACTTGATCTCGCTTCGCATGGTGTTGTCGTTGGCGCGAAGTATCAACGCGCTTTTGTCACCCACATCGTTACCGTCTTCGTCATCGAAAATATCGTAGACATTATCGTAGTTAACTCTCGTCGTTGTCGTCGTCGTCTCGCCTGTTTCTTGCTGTCGACGTCTGCGAAGCACAGCGGCGTTCAAAAAACGAGCAAGGGCGCGCAATTCGTACGAACCCATGGGAATTGTAACCGTTTTGTCGTTATCGTCAAAGTAAAACTTGTTGTTCGTCGAGTCGACGTTCGGTATCGTGTTGTAAGATTCAAAGTTTGTAAGACCGAGTTCATAGACTCCATCGTTCAGATCGATAGATGGATAGTAACTCACCGCGAGAACGCTGCTTTTACCGGTTAATGCGAGCGTGATTGACATTGTTGCGCGCGAGAGCGATCGTCTACCACTTGAGGTTCCTCAGAAATCGCAGACACAACTGACCGCAAACGCTCTTATCGTACGTTTGATACGAATGGCTAGTGTACGCGATTGTCACGTCGTTTCCTAGATAACGCTCGAGTTCTCGCGGTAGACGCAAGTTGTCGAATCCATCAAAGTAGATCGCGTTTCGTCCTCTCTTGGCGTAGGCGACCCAATGCGTGCCCGATCCAATCGCGTCGTCGAGATTCACGATACCGCTCTCGTTCGCGCGGGTAAGGGGTTGCGTATAAATACACCCCTGAAGAACAGTATGCGAAATCGTCGGACAAGCGTGTCAAGTTGCACGTTTGTGGTAACACCGGATGGCAAAGCGACATCTATCGCTTGCGTCCGCGAAATTTTTTACCTCCTCTTCCGAATGCGTTGTGTTTGTAAGGCGCGAGATACAATCCGCGACCTTCCAACGCGCAATTGTGTCGTTGCAGTTCCTCCAATTGACGTGCAGCGGCCTTTTGATCGCTAACGGCTTTTGCTACACCGGTCGCTCTGTTGATCAACGATCCGATGGCTCCCAGCACCGGCAATAGAGGCAACAAGCCGCCGCGTTTCGCAACCGGCAGAATTCTCTTTCTCTTTTTCGCATGTTTTTTCTTTTTACCTATCTTTTGTCTCTTAGAGCCCGCACCGAGTTTCGTCTTTGCTTTCATGGCCACCCAAACAGCCGTTGCGGCAACTTTTTCTCCCAGAGTAGAGTTGGCGGCTGTTATGCGTTCGCGCGCTTTTTTAGCGAGCAACCGATCGGCGTCGTGGCGCGCGGCGAGTTCGGATTTGCGCGAGTAGGCGATGTCGTGCTCGCGACACGCGGCGTCCAACGGATTTACTCCGCGATCGCCCCGCTCCAACCGTTTGGCGAGCTTTGTGCCAGGTCCGCAAAATTGATAGTCCGGTATGTGCAATTCGAACGGTAAAGCGTTTATAGCGCTGTTCAACAGATTTGCCCCGTTCGCGAAACGCATCCGACGCGGTTGCAAAGACCAATCGCGTTCGAACGATCGTTTAGTTCGCGCGCGATCCGCTTGCGCTACGCTTGTCGCAACAACTGAGCGATCGGCGATTCGACAACTGTTTTTGTCGGTTTTAAAGAACGATTTTGGAATCGCGCCGACGCGCTGCGCAAGCGCGAAACGGACGGCGACATGCGTTTCGTTAAACAACCGTTCGCGATACGGGTGTCGAACGTTGACAAACGAACGCAACGATCGAACGAGGAGGAGAAAAACGGGCGGCACGATCTTCTCCTACCGAATACCATACGCGCAATTGTTTGCGGACCGTCCAACTGCGGCAAGACGAACGTTCTGATACGTCTGTTGGAGAGTCCGCACGGTGTGCGATTTAAGAACGTTTACGTGTATTCGAAGTCTCTGCAGCAACCGAAATATCGCTATCTGGAACACTTGTTGGGATCAATAGACGAAATAGGTTACTTCACGTTCGCGAACAACTGCGACATTGTGCGAACGAACGAGGCTTTGCCCAATTTTCTGTTTGTGTTCGACGACGTTGTCTGCGACAAACAGGACGCGATACGGGAGTACTTTGCGATGGGTCGTCACTCGAACATCGATTGCTTTTATCTGTCAAACGTACGCCAAAAGCATCTGATTCGCGACAACGCGAATCTGTTGATTTTGTTACAACAGGACGGCACGAATCTTCGACACGTTTACAACGATCACGTTAACACCGACATGTCGTACAATAACTTCTCGGACCTGTGTCGCGCGTGCTGGCGCCGAAAGTTTTGTTGTGATAGACAAAGATAGCTCGTTTCGCAACGGTAGGTACAGACGTGGGTTCAACGAGTTTGCCGTGTCGTAGACAGCGTCAGTTGCGAACGGTATGTCGAGCAACGACGAGGCTTCGCGCGCGTCGGCGTTGATCACTGATATCGACGAACGCGAGCGTTTGGCGAAAGAGATCGCTCGAGCGCGCGAATCGATACGCAAGAAACATTGATCGTTGAAAACGAGACGCATCGAGGACGAGCTTGTTCTCGAATGACATTTTAAACCGATCGTTGAACCGTTGCAAGAACTGGTCGAGAGTGCAAAACCTGCGGAACGTTTGTACACAGCGGGTGGGAAGAGACAATTGTTAAATTTAAGAGATGATCAGCCTCCCGAAAGTGAAACCATTGAGCCAAGTAGCTGGGAAGACCTATCCTCAAGACAGAAGTCAAGAGATAAAGACAGAGACAAGCACGCCTAAAAGAAACCGGAAGAATGATGTGAACATGATAATAAGGTGTAATATGATCAGACTTCCTACAACCATTGGCGAACCTAATGGCTGCATTCATACATCTAAATAACAGTGTTTAACTCACGCGAGATATCGAGAAAGATTCCCGGACAGTAATCGAGATAAGGAAAGACCAACGCTTTTATTAATGTGAATTTTGTGCATCGAGGTAAAGCATCACCACATCTCCTCAGACGGGTGAAAGCAGCGTAGCACTTCCGTGAGGTGTAAGCAGTTTGGGAACGCCATGACAAGGTATTATCAAGAGTGACACCCAGCAGCTTCAATGTTTCACAAATCTCAACCGGGACATTGTCCACAAAAATGCTGGGAAGTTTTTCGTTTTTAAGTCTGCTAATAAAGCCTCTCGAGCCAAACCAGATGGATTTGGTCTTAGATGGATGGACGATAAGACCATTACACTTGGCCCAGGCAAGAATCGTGCAAAGGAAGACATTGGTACGCTCAATAAGCTTAGGAGCATCCGCAAAACGACCTTTGACGGAAAATTCAAAGTTGTCCGCATAAAGTTGAAAATCACAGTCACTCAACACTGAAAGCAAATTATTGATAAACAATGAGAACAAAGGTGGCCCAGGTATAGAACCTTGAGGGGCTCCCTGGAAACGCTTCATAGACTCAGAGCGCTCACCAGCAGACGAAATAACCGTCTGCGATCTACCCGACATAAAGGAGCGTATCCATCGTATAGCGGAATCAGAAAATCCATAAAAGCAACATTTTTGGCAAAGCAGATCAATATTAACCGTGTCAAAGGCTTGACGAAAATTAACTGCCGTAAATTTTTATCAATGTTCTCACGTATATCGTCGACCATTTTAATCAAAGCTGTATGCGTACTATGTGATTTACGGAAGCCAGACTGTAATGGCTCCAAGATATTTCTGCTCTCAACAAACTCCTCTATTTGTTTAAACGCAACCGTTTCAAGGAGCTTAGATGAGGCGCAGAAGATGCTGATGGGGCAAAAATCACAAGGGTGTTCAGACGCCCGTTTTTTAGGGAACGGTCTAACGATGGCCTTTTTGTAAAGAGATGGAAATACACCGGATTAAAGCGAGGTGTCAAAAATATTGAACATTACAGGCAAAACCACAGGTATACATTCTTTGAGGTATTGGGCAGGGATACTATCAGGGCTAACCGCCCTAGAGCGAGAGGACAAAATAGCACGTCCAAGCTCCTCCGGTTTAACATGTCGAAAGTAGAACTCTCCTCGGCCGGAATTACTGCAAATGAAAAATTAAACCGCAGATTACCGGCAGACCTACTACCAACAAAATAGCTATTGAGCTCATTGAGGTCAATCAAACCACTCAAATTAACGTGTTCGTCCCGAGTAAGATCTAACTCACAAACAATCTTTCACATTTTAACGCTATCCCTGCAACATACAAGCTTGTTCCTAAAGTGCGCGTGACGAGCATTTCTACAAAGGGTTTGCACTCTATTGCGGAAAACCCTAAACTTAGCATGGTCAGCCGGCCGGCCATAACGCCTAAAAACCCTGTAGATCCTGTTTTGCCGCGAGATCAAGTTTTTTATTTCAGGAGTGATCCAAGGAGAAGCGGAACCCCTAGATTTGAACGTGCAGAACGGAGCGTGTTTATCGAGAATATTTGTAGCAAACTTTTGAACCTTGTCATTCACAAGAGAATAAAGGGCAAGGGAATCACATCTGATCAGGCTCAAATCGCGCATGAATCTATCTATG